ATACCCAAAACTTTCGGCACTTAGTAAAGAAATCTGGCAGTGGTGTCAGGAAAGAAAGTTGTGGGTCCAAGCAACGTACATTAAATCAGCGCAAAATATTGAGGCCGATGGAGAATCGCGCATGAAATCAGAGGAAACAGAATGGGAGCTTGCGGGTTATGCCTTTAGGAAAATTGAACTGAGATTGGGTCAGCCAAAGGTCGATTTGTTTGCAACTAATATTAATACAAAATGCCCAATTTTCTTTTCTTGGTTTCCGGACCCAGAAGCCACTGAAGTAGATGCCTTTACAGTAGATTGGTCTAATCTCGAATTTTATGCGTTTCCTCCTTTTGCGCTTATTCTTAGAGTTATCAGAAAAATAATTAATGACAAAGCGGAAGGTATTTTGGTTGTACCAAATTGGCCATCACGACCTTGGTTTCCACTTTTTAATGAATTGCTTATAAAACAACCTATCTATTTTGAAAGAGATATTAATCTGCTACGTTCTCCTTTCAGAGTGTATCATCCTGCGTGGAAGTCACTAAGCTTGATTGCAGGCAGATTGTCAGGGAAGCCTTTATCAGAAAACAAGCGCCAATAGAATCTTTACCATATATTTTAGCATCGTTATCAGAAAGCACTCTGAAGCAATACAGTAAACCAATAGTAGCGTGGTACAAGTTTTGCCAAATAAAAAATTTGTCCCCTTTTGACCCGACAGTATCAGCAGTATTGGAATTTTTATCGCCATTTGCAACCGGCGAAAACAAATATGGAACGCTTAATACCTACAGGTCGGCTATCGCATTATTGTCAACGTGGGATATTGGAAGAGATCCTACAATCAAGAGGTTTTGTAAAGGGGTATCAGTACTCAAGCCGCAACGTCCCAAATACAATCAAACGTGGGATCCTACTATTGTTTTAGAGCGTTTGACAGGTATGGGATCGAACAGCGATTTAGACCTTGAGAGCTTATCGAAGAAACTTGCTATTCTATTGGCTTTAGTGACAGCGCAAAAGGTTCAAACTCTATCAAAAATAAGAATTTCCAACATAAGTTTTAACGCTGGGTTAGTAGTGATAAAAATTCCAGACAGAATCAAGACATCGTCTGTAGGACGCATGCAACCCAATTTGATTATTCCGTCGTTTGCGGAGAATGAAAAAGTATGCCCGGTAACGACTTTGCGAGATTACCTGAACAGGACAAGGAGCTTGAGGAGTGAAAGCGAAAGCAATCTCTTCATAACATTCAAGAAGCCTCACCGGGAGGCATCATCACAAACAATTAGTAGATGGATAAAGCAAAGTATGCAAGATAGCGGCTTGAACATAAGGCAGTTTACGGCACATAGCACACGTCATGCAGCGACGTCTGCCGCGTTCAGAAATGGGGTAGATGTGGAGACCATCCGTAAAACGGCAGGATGGACGAAGAGTTCGGAGACGTTTGCTCGAGTATATCAGCGGCCCATAATTGATGAAGCTAAATTTGCATTTTCCATCTTTAATGTAAAAGTTCATACCTAGTTACTTGGAGGTAAATAAAAAACTTCAAGACAAATCTCTAGTATTTGTAAATAACTACAAGTATTGATATCGAGGACGAGACAGTGTGGTATAATTATACGATC